CGATAACTTCGAAACTCCAACTGTTGCAATTTTCAAATGCCGGATTCTTATAGAAGAGACACTAGTCGAAAATGATGCTGAGTTTCAATAGATTCCGAGTTCCGGTTGATTTTCTAGAAATTTTCAAAATGTACGTGATGTGTCTAACATGCAAGTCTGCCGCACAAGATTAATAACTTAGAAACTCACTCCAACTGATTCAATTTTGGAATCCTGGATTTTTATAGAAGAAGCACTGGTTAAAAATCCTGCAGAAGTTCAATATATTCTGATTGTCGGTTGATTTTCCAGAAATTTTTAAAATTTTTGCCATGTCTTAAGGTGCAAGCTTGTCTCAAAAGAATGATAACTTTGAAACTGCAACCGATGCTATAATGCTGAATTTTATCAGAAGGGTCACTAGTCCGAAATCGTGCATAGTTTTCATGCATTCGGAATTCTCCGTGAATTTCTAGAAGACTTGAAATTCACCGGTGCGATCACAATCGAACATAGAAGATATCGGAAAAAATTGAATTAGAGTGTCCATACGAGTTAACTGTGTGGCCAATGCACAATTTGTGTTATGTATATTAATCAATGAGCACGCTTTAGAATTGTATTTGAATTCGTTGTTCCAGGGACTTTCCTCTGTAAAGTCGTCAATGTCCACATGCGTGCCAGATTCGCATCATTTTTCGATATTTGATCTGGACTACTAAGTGTGATTGTTAGGATTAGTGGACTTTTAGCAAAGTGTTACCAACCGAAGATGCGCCGTTGGGACAAGAACAAAATCGCGTAATGTTGATGATAGAAAATGTTCATTCTTGTACATTAATTGTTCGTGTGAGTCTGCGGAAGGCCAGATCTGGGCGGGAATTCTGCCCGGTAAGTTTTGGCTTTTTCCCAGACCGATCTCTTATCGGTAAATCATAATCTTTGTTGTCTCACAATTTCAACGTGTAGGATTTCGGGCGTTTAGATGTGACTTAAATGGAAAACAATTAATATCAAAGACTGAAGGTCTTTAAACGACTGCTAAAGATATAACGATTTTATTTGGGGAAATTAGAGATAATTACTTTACCAAATATTTATAGATTGGTTACATTTTTTATATATTGTATAAATTGTTTACATTAGGGAATAAATGAAGATTTTATATAACAAGTGCCGACTGGCTGACGATTTTTTATGTTTGTACAGACATTGTTTATTATGGATTTATTGTTTGTTTTTTTTGTTGTTGTATTGACAAATCTCACAGCTTGTATCCAGGCATGGTGGTTTTTAAGTGTTGTTACTGCATAAATCACTTTTTTTGTTGAATAAATCCCGGTATACAACAATTTTTATGCGATACTTTGTGCTTGTATG